TTCTGATACAGATCTTAAAGAGTGGTCAATGATTACCATCGGATAACCAAACAACTCAGACTGTGCAAAACAGCTTGAGTAATCTTCCCTCCCCCCCCCCCGCAGTCCTTGGTATGACACTAGCAGGAATTTGATGCCCACAAAATTTCACCCACAAAATAGTCAATTCACTTACAGTATATCCTGTGAAGCGCTTTGAGACGTCTCAACTCATGATAAGGCGCTGTATCAAATGCATGGATTATTATTATTTGATCAAATGCTTGAAGTGGAGTCATCCGTTCACGTGAGATTAATAATATTTTCATTAATCATCGACCTTCGCACTTGATATATTGATGGCGTAAAATAATAATAATAATCCTTGCATTTGATATAGCACCTCATCATGTCACAGTCGTACTTCACAATAGACTGTAAAATGTAGTGACTGGGTACTTTGTGGGTGAAAAGTGACAGCCAATTGCGCACAGCGGTGTCCCACAAATAGTCATGGATTGAGTGACCATCAGCTTCTGCCGCCCAGTTGAATTCTGTTTCTTGTCTTCAATGCCAGACGGAAGCTGGTGCCTTTTCATTTACTTTCTCTCTCTCTCTCTCTCTCTCTCTCGCTTGTGCTACTTGTGCTTGCAATTGAGTGAGTTTGTGGATTGTGTCATCTGCCTCGCTAATGGGGATTTAATAAACAGCACTAGTCATTAGGACTTATTCATGGGCAATTAACTGTGCCCTTTTCAAGCGGCTTTTAACAAGTAAATGTTTTTTTCAGGTGAGTCTGATAAATCCTCGCTCAGAACTGATTGGGTCCTCAATTATCGTCTTCAAGAAAATCCTTTGGGAACCCCACCACCCCACACACACAGACACAGCTCCCCTTTCGCATTTTTTTTAACAAAGTTCTCTCACCATGAATGGCTGCACTTCACTGCAAATCCTGGGTGAAGCATTTTGAGATGTGGAAAGCGCTGCATCAAGAAATAATAATAATAATGCTTGCATTTAATATAGCGCATTATCACGTCGTTGAGATATCTCTCAGCGCTTCACAGGATATACTGTAAAGAAGTTTGACTGTATTTTGTGGGCGAAACGTGGCAGCCAATTGCGCACAGCAGCATCCCACAGATAGTCGTGGATTGAGTTATAAAATGTTTTTTTGAAGCGATTATTACACGGAAAAGCGAACCGCCAACACTCTGGTGCCTACTTACTGCTAAGAAGCATGTGTGTGGAGTAAGAGAACCTGCCTAAGGTTTCGCCCTGCCTGGAAATCAAACCTGTGTCCTCTCGTTTGTGAGGCGAGTGCTCTAACCGCTACGCTTTGGGACTACTCCAAATGCAAGGAAAACCATCTGGAGGACTGCTTTTGAAACTCAAATTTAAAGACATTTTCATCCGTGCTCTGGAGGTATTTGGGCGAGAAATGAGGTATTGGGTCGTAGCACATGGAGCTTTTTGAACTTATTTGTCAGATGAACACGATCCTACCAGTGGCAGAGTGACTCTCAGTTGGTCACTCATAGGTTAATTAGCCTTTCTGCATTGTTTGGCTTCTGTGCTCACTTTTAAAGTGTTTGAGTTGAATACGAGGCCTTCTGTATTCTTATCACTTGAGTTAGTTTCACCAAGTGAACTTTGTATTTGCTGCTAGCTGGATGAAGCTATCTCTCTATATCCCTGATTTATTTTTCTTCTCACTCAGTTACTTGAACCCGAGTAAAGGGAGTGAATGGTACCTGCCTTAAACCTCATTGTCTAACTCTGTGGGACCTTTATAATCATCATAATAATAATACTCCTCGCATTTGATAGAGCGCCTTATCAGGTCGTTGTGACGTTTCAACGTCTCACTTCACAGAACATACTGTAAAGTGAATTGACTATTTTTTGGATTGAGGAATATCAGTGTCCCACAAAGTCGTGGATTGATTGACCAAATTATTATTGTTTTTTGAAGGGATTATTACCCCCCCCCCCGGAAAGCAATCTGCCAATCGACTAACAACCAGGTTCCTGCTTACTGCTAGGTAAAGAGAGGAGTAAGGAAACTTGCCTAAGCTTTCGCCCCGACCCGCTCGGGAATCGAACCTGGGTCCTCTTGCTTGCGAGGCGAGGGCGCTAACCTCTGAGCTACAACACTCACCATTGCCTAATCTGGGACAAACGCACTGAGACCAGCTCTTGCCGAGAAACCCGCTTCCCCTTGCAAAATCGAACATAATAATCCTTGCATTTGATATAACGTCGTTGAGGAGTCTCAAAGCCCCTCACAGAATATCCCACAAAGTGGATTGACTGTGTATTTTGTGAGCGAAAGAATAATGCAATTAAATATCCAGCCTTTAATTGTGAGCAACAGGCTTCGCAGTTAAGAGCGAATATTCCACAGTTCTGTCACATCTTGCATTCTATCTTAAAAAAAATTTAAAATCTTTTTATGTAGACACACACACACACAATACAAAAAAAAATCCCTTTCAGGCTAAGACTAGTCCAGTTCCCTTTTGCTAAATATTTAAAATTCTTTAATTGATCCTCTCACCTGGCGGTGGCTGTATTTTCTTCCAAGGATTTGCTACGAGGATGAATAATTGGAGAACTGAAGGTCTATATATTTATATATAATACTCCTTGCATTTGATATAGCGCTTTATCATGTCTTTGAGATGCCTCAAAGTGTTTCACAGAATATACTGTGCAGCGAATTGATGTTTTGTGAGCGAAACATATGCGGTACATTTTACGTCTTACATGTTCGGTTGCCTTTTTGCTATTTCAAGTGAATAAATAATTAAATAAACAAAATAATAATAATAATGATTTGGTCACTCAATCCACGACTGTTTCTGGGACACCGCTGTGCGCCATCGGCTGCCGGGTTTCACCCACAAAATACAGTCATCCACTTTACAGTATATTCTGTGAAGCGCTTTGAGACATGACAAGGCGCTATATATCAAATGCAAGGATTATTATTATTATTATTATAACTGATCAGAGATGTTTTTAACGCACGGGATCAGATTCGTCCTGAATTTAGGCGTTGGTTCAAGTGCCATTTCTGGTGGTGATGAGAACACTACACTATTCCCTTTTTCCTGGGGTTTATTCCCCCAAGTGGAGCAGGTTTGGTGTGGTGGTGAACAATAAATGGGGGGGAAAAGGATTGCAAGTTTTCTGACCCAAAAGTCGGCCAAGTTTAGCAATAATCAGACACCAGATAATCCTCAAGCCATGGACTGTCTTTGCTGTCTGACCCGAGTTAAGTTTTACCTGAATAGCAAAGCAATGTGTGTGTGTGAGAGAGAGAGAGAGAAATTGTTAGTCATTTTAGTGTATCTCATCACAACGAATTAAAATAGATCTGTCGCTCTTTCTGTTATCTTTCAAAGGCAATTTTATTCGCAGATGTTTTGCAGTGAGGTTAGGGTATCACACACACACACACACACACACTCTCTCTCTGATTAAATGGGATTTCTCTCTGCATTTCTTTCTCTCTGTGTTCGCCCCGAATAACGCTGTAAATTAAATCAAAGGGCATTTCATCGGATTTCCATTAAATCGCATTTAATTCATCTCTCTTCCTTTTTTTTAATAGCGCCGACAGGAGATTTTTATGTTGTCCAAGGGCGGGCGGTGAATGCCATTAACACGATCGTTTTCGTAAAGGATTCGGAATAACAAACCCTCAGAAACCCTCTCTAACGAATTCGAACGAATCGGTTCACGAAACGCACCGGGTTCGCAATTCGCAATCGGCTGCGGAAAAAGGGGGCGATGGGGTACCCGGCAAACGAGGTGACAAACTCTAATCATTTAATTCACATTTCTTTTTAATGGTTTTATTTTATTTGCGTTTTTCAAGTCAAAACTCGACCCTGCCCCCAAAAAAACACGACAAGTCTTAATATTTGGGGTTGTTTTTTTTTGCCTTTCGCCAACAAATTTCTACCACCGCCAAACAAAGATGTGTTTTTTTAAAAAAAAAACACTTTTAATGTAAAAAAAAATGTGATATGTTTGCACTCTTAGCGTTTATCAGTCGAACACAAATGGGAATAAGTCTTAAGTCTCTCTCTCTCTCTCTCTCTCTCGTTAACTTCCTCGTCTTAGGGAAAGGAATCCGATTTAAAACGCCCATTCATTATGTTTTTTTTAATTATATATATATATATAAATACAAATTGCTCAAACACAGCGCAATCTGCTTAAAAGTCTGAACAACAGTGAAACCAGACCAGATCCTCGCGTCGTTCCTGTGTGTGTGTAAAAAAAACCACACACACACTAATGTTCCCTTAAAAGTCGTGAACTCTCCTCTTAAAAAAAATCTTCTGTTCATTCGATTGGATTTCGAATCGAGAGGAGAAAAAAAAGGGGTTTTGAAAGTCAAGTCGGGGGATCGGTTCCCAAAGGTTTTTTTTTTTTGGGGGGGGGATTGGGGGGTTTTAACGAACGATTTTACGATATTCGAAGCGGGACAGCGATTGCCCACATTTTCACGGTTTTCTCTCGTGTTTTCCGATGCATTTGTGCACTGACTTGTGAACACAACACACGCCTGGGTTTGAGATTTTTTTTTCTCTGCGTGTGTTTTGCGTTTGTTTTTCTCTCTCTGTGTGTGTCTGTGCGTTTCTGTGTGTGTGTCTGTGTTTTGCTGTGTGTTTCTTTCTCTCTGTGTGTGTGTGTGTCTGTGTTTCTGTGTGTGTGTGTGTGTGTGTCTTTTCTGTGTGTTTCTCTGTGTGTGTCTGTGTTTCTGTGTGTGTGTCTGTTTCCCTGTGTGTGTCTGTCTTTTTCTGTGAGTTTCTTCCTCTATGTGTGTGTGTCTGTCTTTTTCTGTGTGTGTGTGTGTGTGTGTGTGTGGTGGGGGTTTGGGTGGGGGTTGGGGAGATTGGCGTGTGTTTTTCTGTGTGTTTCTGTCTGTGTCTGTGTATTTTTCTCTCTGTGTGTCTGTGTGTTTTTCTCTCGTGTTTTTTTCTGTTTTTTTTCCACCCCCACACCCCCCCCCACCACTCACACCCATCACACACAAAAATATCTTGAGCAAATCTCAAAACACCCTCCCAAATATTTTAATCCGAGCCAGAGCACCGAATTATTCACCTATATACAAATATTCTTATCCTTTCAAACCAATAATTTTGATTTCTTTTTCTCAAATTGTTTTTTTTTGGGCTTTCTCTCCACACAACACCTCAAGTTAGTTAATTCCACCCAAATTCTCAAACGATTTAGCCTGTATTTTCCTCTTAAACTGTTCGATCCATTGAGCGAACGATTTTTAATGTATATATGTATTTTTTGTAAAAGAAAAAGTCCTCATTAAGAGTGAAACTGACGTTTTCTCCCCTCGTATGTTTTGTGGTGACAATTAACTGTGTATAAACTTGCGGGATCTGTGTTTTACAATGCTCTGGTTTAGTCAGGGGAATGTTTTGCTGGCTAACTTGTGAACAAATCACCCCAAATTCAGAGATAACTAGTATTTTTTTTGGAGGTGGGAGAAAAGAGGGAAGTGAAATAGACTAAACTCGACTCCAGTGAAATTGACACATGTCGATTTCACCCAATTCACTGCTTAAGAGCATGTTCACATACTCTCTCTTTCTCTCTCTCTCACACACACACTATTGTAACCAGATGATTTTACACAGGTCGATCCACAGCATACTGACAAGGGCTGAGGTTGGGGGCTGTGTTCTGCATGGCCCCGTAGCTAAAAGTGGAAGAATGATGCTTTGCTCGGAGTCTCAGACTGGCCAGGCTTGAGTTGCAACCATCTCGGTAGACATAGGGGCTTGAAGTTGCCCCATAAGAGCAGGGCGAGCCAGAGGCCATGGTTGGGTTGAGTGAAGCTCCTCCCAAGTTATTCAACCCAGAGCCGGGTAGAGAAGTGGGGACCATAGTCATGGAGTTGGGAGGTGGGAACATGGCTTGAGAGGACACCGAGGTGACATTCACTGAGTTGAAGAAGGAAAAGCCCTTGGAGATGGGGCTGGCCGTCAGCCCTTTGGCCGCCCAATTGTTATAGGGATAGCCTGAGTACATGTCCTCATAAGGCGGCACCAAGCCACTTAACTGAGCCCCGAAGCCAGACTTGCAGAACTCGGCTTGTTGGTGGCGCTCTCGCTTTCTCCACTTGGCTCTGCGGTTCTTAAACCACACCTGGAGAGAGAGAGAAAGAGAAAGGAAAAGAAGAGAGGGAGAGAGACAGACACAGCTTCACTTTTGCCGTAGAGTATACAGTCCACAAAATATACAGTCAATGCGCTTCACGGTATATTCTGCGAAGCGCTTTGAGATGTCTCAAGGTGATAAGGCGTAATATCAAATGCAAGTATTATTAGGGACAGAGGAGATCTGAACAGTTTGGGACTTAAAATGTTATTGTGCCCAACAATTCCCCCCCACCAATAACGTATTAATAATAATATTAATATTATTATTAATGACAATAATCCTTGATATAGCACCTTAACATGTCTTTGAGACGCCTCAAAGTGCTTTACGCAATATATTGTAAAGTGAATTGACAGGGTATTTTGTGGGGGAAACACGGCAGCCAATTATGCACAGCAGCGTCCCACAGACAGTTTTGGAATGAGTGACCAAATTTTTTTTAAGGTAATATTACCCCCAGAAAGCGATCTGCCAATCGACTTAACAACTGGGTTCCTATTTACTGCTCGGCCGTGTGGAGTAAAGGAAACTTGCCTAAGGTTTCGCTCTGCCCGGGAATCGAACCCAGGCGAGTGCTCTAACCCTACAGGACTGAAATGGTTTATATTTGTTTCATAGTTGTTTGTGGGACTTGCTGTACGCAAACGGCAAGGATTATTATTTTTAATATTAAGCTGCTCAATCTGGGCAAGAAAAATACAATTTAATCTCAGCCATTTGTATAGTGTGTTTTTTTAAGAAATACATAAACAGTTAGCAATCCAACTGCAATATTCTCAGATTGGTTTGGAGACTGTTAAGCACGATGGTGGGTTTCCACAAGTGTCAGACCCCCGGCTGACCCCCCAAAAAAATCAAATGCAAGTATTATTGTTATTATTATTCCAATTCTGTGACCCAAAACAGAAGAGAAGGGAACTTGTCTTTTTCCTCAGAGATGGAACTAGGGATTTGTATTTTTTAATGCATGCAATTTGTAATTATTAATGTATTTTTCATGCTCAAGGGATGTGAGGAAAGGGCAGGGAAATGGGACTGGAAGGATGGATAGCTCTTTAAAAGAGTCGGTACAGACACGCGAGAAATTATTACTACTAATAGTCCTCACATATAATAATGATCCTTGCATTTGATATATAGCGCCTTATCACATCGTTTCACCCACAAAATACACAGTCAATTCAATTTACAGCATATTCTGTGAAGCGCTTTGAGATATCTTAACAATGTGATAAAATACAAGGATTATTATGATGATGATCATTGTTGAGACAGTTCAAAGCACTTCACGGAACATGGATTGACGTTGTATTTTCTGGGCAAAACAAAGCAGCCAATGGAGCACAGCAGCGTCCCACAAACAGTCGGGGATTGACGTGACCAGATTTTTTCGGCACCAAATTTGATCATTTCTACAGTGAAGAAGCGAGTTGAGATATGATAAGGCGCTGTATCAAATGCAAGGGTTATAATTATTATTATTTGCTCACAGGATTGTGAAACGGTTATCTCATTCCAAGTTTCGCTAATTCTAACTCATACTCAGGAGTCCCCGAGCCTTGGCTAATCTGCGCCTAACACGCTCAGGAATTGGGTAAGGAGCGTACGTCCCTCCAGGGAGAGAGGGTGTACACTCTATTCTGTACAGACACGAATTTCTATGTGTAGGTGACATATCTTGTGGATGCAGTGATATTTTTAAAGCTGATGATAATAAAAATCCTTGCATTTGATACAGCGCCTTATCGTGTCATTGAGGCGTCTCAAAGCGCTTCACAGAATATACCGTAATAGGTGAATTGGCTGTTAAGTTTGTGAACAGAATATTATTCATCCAGCTCTGTCTCTACAGCTGTCTCTCTAAATATAAATATATATCTCAATCTCTCTCTCTATCTCTCTACTTATCTCTACCTCTCTGTGTCTCTGTGTGTGTACACATATATATATACATAAACATATAGTTCTCTCTCTTTATATAACTATCACTATCTCTCTCTCTGTCTCTGCTTTCTCTCTCTGTTTCTCTACATGTCTTTCTTTCTCTCCCATCTCTCCATCTCCTCTCTCTCTCCATCTATCTGTCTCTCTCTCTCTCTATCCATCCATCTATCTCTCTCTCTCCATTTATCTATCTCTTTCCCTGTGTCCCTCCTCCTCCCTCCGTCTCTCTCTCTCTACATATATATATATATCTTTACATATCTCTCTCTCTCTCTCTCTCACACGCACATACAGCTGCCACACACCCCAACCCACTGCCTCTCAATCCTGATCCCTCAGCCTTGTCCACACAGCTCTCTGTCTGTCTGTCTGTCTCGGTTTCTCTCTCTCTCTCTCTCTCTCTCATACAACACACACACTCAGAGAAGCTATCTCTCTTTCTCACTCACTCTCTCTGTCGGATCCTCTCTCTCTCTCTTACACACAGAGCTATCTCTCTTTCTTTCTCACTCTCTGTCTCTGTCGGATCCTCTCCCTCCCTCCCTCGCTCTCCCCCTCTCTCTCTCTCTCTCTCACACACACATCTCTCTTTCTTTCTCATTCACTCTCTCTGTCTCTGTCGGATCCTCTCTCTCTTACACACACAGCTATCTCTCTCTCATTCACTCTCTCTGTCTCTGTCGGATCCACTCCCCCCCTCTCTCTCTCTCTCTCTTACACACACAGCTATCTCTCTCTCATTCACTCTCTCTGTCTCTGTCGGATCCACTCCCCCTCTCTCTCTCTCTCTCACACACAGCTATCTCTTTCTTTCTCACTCACTCTCTCTGTCTCTGTCGGATCCACTCCCCCTCTCTCTCTCTCTCTCTCTCTCACACTCACACAGCTATCTTTCTTTCTCACTCACTCTCTCTCGTCTCTGTCTGCTGCTCTCTCTCTCTCTCTCTCTCTTCCACCCCCACACACACAGAGACACACATCTCTTTCTCTCTCTCTCTCTCTCTGTCTCTCTGTCTCACTCACTCCATCAGATGCAAAGCAAGGTTCTGCGTTACCCTGATCCTCGCCTCGCTCAGACTGGTCCACACAGCGATCTCCTCGCGGGTGGACATGTCGGGGTAGCGGTTGCGCTGGAAGGTGGCCTCCAATTCCTGGAGCTGTTGGCTGGTGAAGTGGGTCCTCTGACGGCGTTGTTTCTTCTTGGCCGAAGCTTCCTCAGAGCCCGAGTCATCCGACTTGCCTGTCCTCAGCCTCTCACTGTCCCCTATAACCGGGGGGGGGACAGACACAGGGCTGTGAGCAAAGTCTGTCCCTCTCTCTCTCTCTCTCTCTCTCTCTCAGGTCATCATCACCATCATCATCATCATCACCATCACCACCATCATCACCATCATCACCACCATCATCATCATTATTATTATACTGTTATTCATTTTTATTGCTGTTTAACTCAGTTTTCAAAGAGGCTGAAAAATGGCCCCCACCGGAGTTTTGGGAAGTTTGTTTGGTTTGGAAAAAAAAAGTTGGGAAGGGGTGGGTGGGTGGGGGGTGGGGGGTGGGGTGGGGGGGGAGAAAAAAAATTGGGAGAAAATGTTTTTGAGGGCGCAATGTTTTTTTTTCCCCCCCTCCTCCCTCCTCCCTCCCCCCAAAGAAAACTTGATAAGAGAAAGTTTCAGAAAGTTTAGAAACGTTTTGATATCTCTCTCCTTCCCTCTCTCCTTCCCTCTCTCCTCCCCCCCAAAAAAAAATAAAAAAATTAAAAATAAACACAAAAACCCCACGCAAACACAACTTTAAGCCGATTCCATTTCACTTTGAACGGTTGGGGTGTTTTTTTTTAAAAAAAGGTAATAAATCGGTTTGCAATTGGAATCCGACGCGATTTTTAAAAAAAAAATAATAATAATAATAATAAGCGAAATACGCTTTTTTTTCTCCCTGTGGTGGAAAGTTGCTGTGTGTCTGTGTGAGAGAGTGTGTGTGAGAGTGTGAGTGCGTGAGAGAGAGTGAGTCTGTGAGTGTGTGTGAGTGCGTGTGGGTGAGTGTGTGTGGGTGTGAGTGAGAGTGTGTGTGAGAGTGTGAGTGTGTGAGAGAGTGAGTCTGTGAGTGGGTGTGAGTGTGTGTGTGAGAGTGAGTGCGTGTGGGTGTGAGTGAGAGTGTGTGTGAGAGTGAGTGCGTGTGGGTGTGAGTGAGAGTGTGTGTGAGAGTGTGAGTGTGTGAGAGAGTGAGTCTGTGAGTGGGTGTGAGTGTGTGTGTGAGAGTGAGTGCGTGTGGGTGTGAGTGAGAGTGTGTGTGAGAGTGAGTGCGTGTGGGTGTGAGTGAGTTGTGTGGGTGTGAGTGAGTGAGTGAGTGTGTGTGGGTGTGAGTGAGTGTGTGTGGGTGTGAGTGAGAGTGTGTGTGAGTGAGTGAGTATCTGAGCGGGTGTTGTGTGTTGATTTATTTTCAACCCATTTTATTTTTTGTAAACCCACATTTGCAGTGGATTGTGATCGCTGGTGTGGGGGTGTGTGTGTGTGGGTGTGTGGGGGTGTGTGTGGGGGTGTGGGTGTGTGTGTGGGTGTGTGTGTGTGTGTGTGGGGGGGTGTTGTGTGGGGGGGTGTTGGGGGTTTATATGTGAATACACAATTCGAACAAACAACGAGTCACACCGACGGGTTATCCCTCGAAACAACAGAATAACACACAAATGGGATTCAAAGCCACAGATTGCGGTCCAAATAAATCCGCATTTAAAGTAACATTAATCGAGTCATCAATTCGGTGCGAAGGGAAAAAAAGTTGAAGTCGATTTGATTACAGAGATGGCAGAGACTTAGTAAACAAGTGACTGACTAGTCAAATCATATAACATATTATAAATCATATAATATAATATATATACATACATTAAGGTAAATGTGTTGTATATAATGCAAGCGTTATTACAATATATATAATGCAAAGGTTATTATTATTATTATTATTATTATTACAGTCTATGCTTTTCAGTTAAAATCAAATTGAAGGTAATGTTTTATTATTATATTTAAGGGCAATTTTATTTACCAGTGTGTTTCTTTCCTGTCTGGTTTCCTGACGGTGTTCCCCCCACCGAAGCCCTCTCCTGCCACTGAACTGCTCGGAATCTAAACTTTTATTTGGTTTGAATTTGAAGTGGAATTTGAATTTTTTATTTGGTTTCAGAGCTTTGATTTGACTTGATCTCAAAAAACGAAACGTCCGTCCGGGTCTTAACAGCAAAGTCGACTCTTTTTTTTTTTCCTGATTAAAAACGCAGATCGGGAGGATATTTTTTTTAAAATAATAAATCGCACATCAATCAATAAATAAAGACACCGCATTACTTTCTCTCTCTCTCTCTCTCCATCTCTCTCTGTTTCAAAATAATATCAGTTGACCGAATTCCCCTTTATATTACTATTCTACAGTAATGATGATGATACTTTGCTGATAATAATGATTATTATAATAATATATATATTTTTTTGCCATTGCCGTAGAATACAACGATGTCGTACGTTCATTCCCCCCATATGGGCACAAAGGGAAATTATTTGCCTATATATATATATATATATATCCCAACGACAAAGAAATATTATTAGACGCCGCTTTTATGGGGGAATGCGATGAACAGAAGGAATTTAGAAGTCAAGAGTTTCAAACAAAATAAATAATGATTTTAAAATTCGGTTCGTCTTCAATGCGAAAGAGCGCATTTTGTACTTAAACCCCCAAAACGCGTGTGATATTTCCTATTTAATCCCCTATTTTTTTCCCCAATTAAACAACACCCCCCCCCCCCACACCCTCCCTTACTTATCGCTCATTATTTATAACTCTAACTCTTTTTTTGGAGGGGGATTTTTATCACTTATTTCTTTAAAACGCGAGAAAATTAATCATTTTGTCACTTTTTTTTAAAAAAAAACGCAGCGATCGCTTTGCTTTCAGTCGTTGCTTTTTGTTGAGCAAAGTGGAGATTTATTTTTTCTCTCTCAGGGGAGGGGAAGGGGGGGGGGAGAAAAAAAAAAAAGGCGTGAGGGAGTGGTGAAAAAATATTAAATATTGGGGGAAAAAATCGAATTGTTATTCTGGAGTTATATCTATTCAGCTGTGGGATGACATAACTCGATCTTAAATATGTATTTATATTATTTATTAAATATACACACACACTTGGACATGTAAATCCCACTTTTAGAAGATTTCGCTGAATAAAAATCCACCCAAAGTAGCATTTAAATGCGCTTTGTGTGTTTTAATGGCAATATGAATTTATCTGCGGAACAATAATAATAATTTGTATGTGGGTTGCAAAAGAAAAAAGCAGCCAACTTGCAACTATCTGGTGGATTTCACGCGCATGCACAAAAAAAAATCTTTAGAAACTGGTACAAGTGGAGGCGGAAAGAATAGTGGGGGAAAAATATAGATTAAATAGGATTTAAAGCGCTCTCAGCCACTGAGTTTGCGGCCCCTTTGCGGCGCGAATAGCGAACGGGAATGCCCAGCTGCAGCGCGTGGAAGAAAGCTTCCCCCTTACCCTCTTCGCTCCCGCTGTCTGGAGTCCCTGCCAATTGCCTGATCGCCAACGAACTTGCCCCCTCCGTTCTGGGCAAGCACTTGAGCGAATCCGTCGCCATTATCGCGCACCGCCGGAGAGCTTTCGGTATCGATCAGCAGCCGCAAGACGTCTCCGAGAGATTGGCCATTCAGAAACGATCAACGTCCAGGCAAGACACCCCTTTACTTTACCTTTCCTCCTCCCTTCCCTTCCCTTCCCTTCCCAAAAGCACAGAGGCTCTCACTCACTAAATCCCCCTCGCTAATCCCAAATGCAATGTGTTTCCCTGTGTGTGTTGGACTGTGTGAGTGATGTCTCCCCCCCACCCCCCCCCCACACCCACACCACACAATCTGAAACCAGACTCTTGTTGGTTGGAGAACTCAAGGATGGATGGGGAGGGGTCGAGAGTGACTGAACCCCACCCCCTTTGGCTGTTCCAAAGCGCATTTTTTGCCCACCAGCTGTGCGTCCTGCAAACAGCGCCCACAAGAAAAGTGCATTCTGCACTCCCCCCAAAGGCTATCTAATAAATAATAATAATAATAATAATAATCCTGGCATTTGATACAGCGCCTTTTCACGTCGTTCGGACGGCTCAAGGCGCTTCGCAGAATATCCGGTAAAGTTCAGCGACTGTGTGTTTCGTGGGCGAAAAGGCGGCAGCCAATTGCGCGCACAAACAGTGGTGGATCGAGCGACCAAATTATTGTTGGTAATAATGTGAAGGGATTATTTATTACCCGGGGAAAGCGATCCTCCAAACGACTTACGAGCGGGTTCCTTCTGACTGCTAGGTAAACAGAGGCACGTGAGTGTGCGCGTGTGCGTGTGGAGTAAGGAAACTTGCCGAAGGTTTCGCCCCCAAATCCAGAAATGTCATTCGTTTGTTTTAATCTTTCTACTTCCATTTTGATTTATTGTTTTAAAGCTGTTTTTTTTTGATATAATAAAAAGAGATATATTTTTAACAGCTCGACAACAGCTTAAACATTGCTCCTGGGACACTGCTGGGATCGCCTGCAGTCCGTGTACCTTACAGTATGTTCCGTGAAGCACTTTGAGACGTGAAAAAGCACTATTTCAAATGCAAAAGATTGTTATTGCTATTGTAATAACTGTGTCTCGTCACGGGCGCTATGTAAATGCATATTGTTGTAATAATAATAACAATTATGTGCATTCATCAGCGCAATGGCTAAGCCGAGACTTGCAGCCCTTTGGAGTTTACGGTTGAGACCTGTGTGTGTCTTTGTGTGTGTGTTTACAAATGGGAGGTTCTTCGATGTGTTGGAAGGTTTATTTTTTAGCCCCCGTTTAGAAACGCAGTCCATTTTAGCCCGGCGCGTGTTGGGCTAAAATAACTGTTCGGTAACTGTTCAGAGCAATGAAAGCACTTGGCCCACAACGCTCCTTTCCCTATCTCCTTCCACGCTTGCGCACTCCCCTCACTCCCCTAAGATGACCCTCCACTACAGCGCTGGGAGGCGCACTGCATTGTTGGAGGTGCCATCCTTTGGCTGAGACGTTAAACCTCACTCCCCCGCCTGCCTGTTCAGGTGGACGTTAAAAGATCTATTCGAAAAGATTAGTGAGTCTTTCTCTCTCTTTCCCGGTGTTCCTGGCCAGCAGTCCCCGCAAATAAATCGCTCGCTCAATCGGCGCCAGTCGCGATATTTTTTTCTCGGACCGCCATGCGTCTGACACACGCGGAAACCCACCACCGTTGCTGAGGAGTCTCCAAGTCCAACTGAGAATTCCGTGCATCCCACTTACACACGGAAATTCCAGAGATAGATTATTGGAATGGGATGCGCTCTCTCTCTCTCTCTCTCTCTCTCTCTCTCTCTCTCTCTCTCTCTCTCTTTCCCTTGAGGGAAGCACCCTGTTTATCTAATCCCGGAAAGTATTAGGCGCAGGTTGGCGAGAGCTTAGTCTTAGGGGACCCCGGAGTGCGCGTTGGGGTACCTGCTGGAGTCTAACCGGCTAAAAACTACACAGCTTGCCATTGATATCGCTGTCTGGCCGGCTTTCCCACTGCTGTCACTACATTTTACAGTGTATGCTATGAAGCAGTCTGAGACGTCGTCCTGATGTGAAAGGCGCTGTGTCAAATGCAAGGATTTATTCTGTTCTTTGTGAAGGCAGCTGTGTGATTGTGTGGGAGAGGTGCAATACAACGGGCTCCTTAGGCCAGGATTAACTTCCAGTTGTGCCCTGCTGAGCGCTTGATTTTCCAGCACTTTAACACACCAGGAACACACACACAGACACGCACACACACACACACACACGCACGCACACACAGGGAAACAGACACACACACACAAGCATGCGCGCACACACACACACACATACGCACACACGCACACACACACACACACAATCATTCAGATATGCAGAATCCTCCTAAATAATTGCAACCTGGAATCCGCTTGTGCTTTTACACTGGTAAAGGGCAGAGGCTAATTCCACCAGACTTTAATGGGAGGAATTCAGTCTGTCAGAGAGAGCCTAGAATTTGAGCAACATCTTAAATCCAGCCTTAGTGTTCAAGCAGTTTCATTGAACCGAATACTAGAAAGGAGACTTCAAAGTTTAAGACTGAATTTAATAATAACAATAATAATCCTTGCATTTGATATGGCGCCTTTAGACGTCTCAAAGCGCTTCACAGAATATACTGTAAAGTAAATTGACTGCATATTTTGTGGGAGAAATGCGGCAGCCAATTGCGCACAGCGGTATACTCCGTGAAGTGCTTTGAGACGACTCAATGACATGATATGGCGCTATACATATATATCAAACGCAAGGATTATTATTATATTTCAAACGCTCCGAGACGCTACCCTGCGTGGAGGGGGCTATATAAGTGCGTGTTGTTTTTGTATTATTATGATGATGATCGCCCCAGATGTGAAGTTAGCAGGACCAGTTTGTAATTTGTACTCCCAGCTTTGCTTATTTCAAAATCCCCCTTGCAATGAAGGGTCTGTTAAGCTACTGGTATCCGTGCCCCGTTGAAACAGATCGCTTTATTTGCCGGTGCAAAAGTCAAGTGCTAGGGATGAAGACATCATCCTATTCCTCAGTGTGGGCTACGGAGAGGTAGGCACACAGCACAATAACTCCAGCCGATGTCTGTAATAAACCTTGCTTGCTATCTCCATTGTTTTTTTTCAATTGGAGTACACATCGAGACCCAATTGGCCTGATATCTGAGACAATTGGCTTGTGTTCTTGTTGATAAGTGACCAAAAGCCTTTGGTCACTCAACTCAACTAAACTAAACCTCACTTGAAGGCTGAGTTGCTCAAACTCCCACCCGGAAACAAAATGGGTTTGTCAACTTAATCATGACAATAATCCTTGCAGTGGATATGGCACCTCATCACATCTTCGAGACGTCTCAAAGCGCTTCACAGCATATACCGTAAGGTGTAGCGACTGTGTGATTTGTGGGCGAAACCGCGTTAGCCAATTGCCCACAACTTTCTGCCTCAGAGGTGAGAGGACTAAGGACTGAGCCGGGCAACAACAACAGCAACAACAAATTACACTTGTATAGCGCTGTTCATGTCAGGAGGGCACCTTAACTTACTATCTGAGTTAATCTCTTGCTCCAACCCACGTACAATCTTGTTAGCTCCCCGAGACTGTTTGGCATGATAAGGAGCTACATCAAATACCAAGAAGATTACTGTTATTTGCTACTGTGAACTGATTTGAGATGATTCCCCTCTTGTAAATGGATATAAATACACCATAAAGGAACAGAGGGAAATGGGAGAGTGGAAAAGGGAGGGTTGGGTCTCGTTGATTGGGCACTCAATCCACGACTGTTTATGGGAAACTGCTGAGCGCATTTGGCTGTCGCGTTTTGCCCACGAAATACATAGTCACTCCATTTTACCGTATGTTCTGTGAAGCGCTTTGCGACGCTTCAATGACATGATGAGTAAGGCACTATAACAAAATCAAGGATTATTGTTATTATTATTATTAGAGCACAGTTCTGATGTGGGTTCCTTACCACAGTCTCTCTGATGTGTGTAGCCAGCTGGCTCCAGTAAGGTCTCCCTGTTCTCTCTGCGACATTGCGTGCCAGTTACTTCACCAGTGACCAGTGCAAATTCCATTCGAAGTCTTATTCTGCGAAAAACAAAAACTCCCGTTAGGAAAAAGGGCCACGGGGTTAGCTTTAGCACAGCAGTTTGCACAAAGCACGCAACCACATGTCTCCTGTCTCAGACCAGCCAGCAAATCGCCAACTAATCTGTTGGCCAGCCAGCCCCCGGATAAAACTGGGCACTCACTCCACGACTGTATGTGGGACACTGCTGTGCGCACTTATAAAAGGCTGCCCGTTTCGCCCACAAAATAGACAGTAAAATCACTTGACAGTATATTTGGTGAAGTGTGGAGTCTCGTAGCATTGTGGTCACAGCGTTCGCCTCGCAAGTGAGAGACCTGGTTCCGATACCCAGGCGGGGCAAATTTCTTTATCTCACAAAAACGCCACTGTTTTTTCCATCCCGTTGTTGAGGTGCCTCAAAGCTTTTCATAGGAGAGACTGCAAAGTCTATGGATTGTGTATTTTGTGGGCAAAAAGCGGCAGCCCATTGCCCAGAGCGGTGTCCCGCAAACCGTCGTGGATCGAGCGAGCAAATTATTATTTATTTATTTTTGAAGGGATTATTACCCCTGGAAAACGATCCGCTAATCGACTACCGGGTTCCTTCTTACTGCTGGGTAAACAGAGGCGTGTGGAGTAAGGAAACATGCCTAAGGTTTCGCTCTGCCTGGGAATCGAACCCAGGTCCTCCCGCTTGAGAGGCGAGCACTAACCACTATGTTACGGGATTCCATTTTATTTAAATATTTATATATATATATACATATGAAGAACACGGCTTTATAAAAGCTGGTTGATTGTCTAAATATCACTTTATTTCTATCTGTACAAAGCATCTTTTTTCCTTCGAAAACGCAGTCGACATTTACGTTCGCAATCCCGTAAGTGCCGTGGACGAACAGTCGAGGCGTGAGCAAAGTGCCGTAACGGATTGGAAAGGTGGTTTATTTGTTGACGCTTTATTTACGGTGGCGTGAAAGCGGCGAAACGAACAAACAGTTCGTCCGAAATCTTTACTTTGTTTTAGGATTATTCAGGCGAACGCTGGTTGGGAAACTCAACAACTCTCTCTCTCTCTCTCTCTCTCTCTCTCTCTTTCAAGACTTCAACCGCACCACAGTGGCTGTGAAGTG